AAAATTGACACTGAGCATAATGAAGAACAGGGGTATGAAAATGCATGAGATGGTAAACTGGCAAGACACGGTGGTTTCCCCCAACGGGCCGTAATGAGAACGCTATTCTACAAAAGGACTTGCAAACATGATAGTGTCCTCCTCGAGTGCGAGAGGTTCCGGATTCAATCCCCGGTAAGAACTGCGATTTTTTTCATGTGGCCTTGGACTTCTAGTAATTCTCCTGGTCTCTGGGTAGTGAGATCGGTCGCCCGTGTGCATTGTTGCGGGCGTAAAAAAATACCTTACCTGTTGAAAATCAAAAGGGTAGACTAACGGAGCTGTCCGGGTAAAATTTGGAGTTAAAAATCCACCCAGAGCATTTCAGGATCCTTGCCGGTGCTACAGAGCCTGTGCACTGTCATAAGCTTCTTCGGACTCAGACTTGAGTTAAAAGAAGAACGGAGCACTTATGGGTTACACCCGTGTGTGATGATGTTGATCCGTTGTTCAAAAACCTCACAAAACCACTGTTAACTCCTCAAGAAAACAACATTCCTGTTATTGATTAACATCAATACTAACGAGCTGTTGTGTAGAATAATCGATATGTAGATTTCCCCAGCTGCGATGTATACCTAAAGAAATATGCACGCGACCCTTCAGCACACGAAGCGAGTTGCTTGTTTGGCTATAAGTAAATTTAAGCACGGGTAATAAACAGACAGACATATTGGCTGGATCTGCACCACTGGATGTTGAATTGATACATGACAAGGCAGATGTGGTAAAGGCCATTTGGGAGCAAGCAACGGAATTAGTAGAGAAACAAGATTATTATGGCCTAGAGAGAACGAGGCACCTGGGCCGGCTCACTGCACTCAAAGGAAAGGCAAGACGGACATTAACAAGACTGTCATCATCAGTTCTCGTTATGCCTAGTGGCACATGAGCTTCAGAGAGGACTTTCCATGCTTTCCTGTCCTATGCAATCTTCAATGCAGTTTTCCATGTCAAAGATGCCGCACTCAGGTCACTTTCCATCGTTCGTCTCCATGTTGTTTTTGGGCACCCCTGTTTTCTCTTTCCCTCTGGTGTCCATGTGAGAGCTGTTTTGGCAGGTATATCAGAAGTCATTCTCATAACGTGGCCAAGCCATTTCCATCTTCTCTTGGTAATCATACTGTCTAAAGTTTTTTGGTTTGTGGTTTGAAGTAGTTTAGTGTTTGAGATTGTATCTGGCCAGAAAATTTTGATAATTCTACGTAGACATGTGTGGTGGAAGGTGGACAGCTTGTGTGCATCCTTTTTGGTCATTCTCCAGCATTCCGCTCCATAGAGAAGAACTGGCATAATATTGCTCTTGTAGAGTCGGAGTTTCGTTCCTCTGCAGTAATTGTTGGATTTCCAGATTTGCCTCATCCTTCCAAAAGCAGCTCTAGCTTTGTTCAGACGTGACTGTATGTCTTCCTCTGTCCCTCCCAGTAGGGACACCACACTTCCAAGATACGTGAAATGTTCTACATTTTCAAGTGATTGGTTACTTATGGTCACTGGTTGTTGGTTTGGACTGTTTGTCATGATCTTAGTTTTCTTTGTATTTATTCTAAGTCCCACCATTTCTGCGGTGCAGTTTAGTTTGTTACTTTTCTCTTGTATTTGTTCATGTTTATGTGATAGGAGTGCTATATCATCTGCAAAATCAAGGTCCTCAAGCATGGTGAATGGAATACATCGTATGCTTCTTAATGTCCTGTCTACTGTGTTATTTAGTATCCAATCAATCACAAGGTTGAAGAGGAGAGATGACATAATACATCCCTGTCTTACACCCGTCTTTACTGGGAAAGATGTATTGTAATTTTTTATACTGCAGGAAAAGTCTTTATAGAAGAGAGCAATTATGTTGACTATTTTTCTGGAATTCCATAATGTCGTAAAATTTTCCACAGACCGTCTCTATGGACGCTGTCAAAAGCTTTTTCAAAGTCCACCAAATTAATATATATACTTCTCTGCCATTCGTTGCATTGTTCTAAAATGTTCCGTATGGCGAAGATGTGCTCAGTTGTTCCTCTGCCCTTTCTGAATCCTGCTTGTTCCACTCGTAGGCATTTATCTACTCCTTTTTTAAGCCGCATTATGATGATTTTACAAAATATTTTGCTTGGTACTGAGAGTAGAGTAATTCCCCTCCAATTATTGCAGTCTGTTAAGTCTCCTTTTTTGGGGATTTTGACTATTGTTTCTTCAGTCCAGTCATCAGGCAACACTTCTTTCCCCCAAATATCCCTGAACAATGGTTCTAGAATGCTAGCAGTTGTATTGGGATCTACTTTGAGAAGTTCTGCTGACAATTTGTCTTTTCCTGGTGCTTTGTTGTTCTTTAAAGTGTGGATAGCTTTAAGGATTTTTTGTTTGCTTGGTAAACAAGACTGTGATCGCTAATATCAGTATTGGAACTCTGCGCTGGCTGCTGAAGATGAGTACGGAGCACGCATAGGAATGCCCCGTGTGCTGTGATGTCAATTCTTGACTCAACTCGACTCAAGCACTGTAACTATAACACAGCACTCTACCCTAAACTGTCATGAAAAGTCAAGTTAGTTGCACGTCCTTTGTAGGACGCTGCAGAACCAACCCCATTATGTTTTAGCTGTTGTAGTTTCTGTGAGCAAATTTACGTTGAGTAGTTTACCATTAGTCGGCTCCATGGCTAAGTCCATGCGAACGCTTCGTAATGCCGGGTGGCGCTGCGGACCATGCGCCTTGCGTTGGTTTCCACAGTAGTATCAAGGGGCCGACCATCCAAAAAGCAGTGGCAAACTACTGGACGTAAATTTGCTTACAGAAACCACGCAACAGCCAAAGGTCTTTAGGGTTGGTTCTGCAACGTCCTGTAAAGGATACGCAACTAACCTAGTTTACCATTGACCAAACCTGGATGGATATTAAGAATATGGTTATGCAGAAGAATGTTTTGGAGTGTCCACCATCAACAGAAAGAACAAATTGTTCGATACAAAATGTGAAGAAGTAGTCAGTAAGGAAAAAAAGCATGCCAGGCAGATTTGGCTAAATTATATTAGTAACATACGAAATAAAGAACAATTTAGAACAGAATGTAAAGAAGCTACAAAAGTAGTTAGTAGTTTTTTTTTTTTAGCAAAGAATTGGATTGAATCTGCAACGAATGCAGGCTACGGTGCACCCACCGCCATCTTTGCGATTCTGGTACCACTGTACGAAAACCACAAGAACGATTAAAAAAAAAAAAAAAAAACATCACCCATCCCTCGGGGGAAATCTCACCCTAGTACTCGAGAATCATAAAGTTGTTAAACGTTTCACTAATTAACTCCTTGATATCAGAAGGTTTTACAGGAAATCCCCTTATATAAAATTTTTTTTTTTATATCCAGAAACCATAAGTTGTTAACCCTTTGTCTCGGTACTATGGATATCGCAACCCTTCGGCCTTGATTCCATGATAAGTGCCGTAAATCTGGGAGGAAACGTGGCTTTTCTGCCTACCCCCGGGAGTGAACCCGGACCACAAGGAGTTCGTCACCCGGTCACCGCGCAGTCCGGTTTAGCAAACTACGCTAGAGAGCTGGGCCTTATATATAAAGAACCAATAGGAAAAAACCATGAGTGTAGGGCTTTCGAATATGCTAAATACTAGCGAAGCAAGCTTTCTTTGAATGCTATGACTAACTTTAAAAAGGACTAAAACATATTACACGTTGGGCGGGATTCACAGAATTGCAAATCATACATCATGTTTTGTTTTGGACTGAAAAGGTTAAATATAAATGAATGAATCAAGAAGTGACATCACTGCAGTTGGAACATTCCCCACACATGCTACGCTCCCTTCTTCAGTAGGTAACGAAGAGTTAAAACGCTAATAGTACCAGTTGCAACCAGATGAAGATGGCAGTTTAGTGACTCGCAACAACTTCATTATCGTGATCAGCCCAGTAATCTTCTTCGTTAACTTTATCATCATTATCCTCGTCAATAGCATCACCATATTGTCTCCCTGTGGGTTACGGGCCACAGTTTGGAAGAAAAAGAAAAGACTCACCAACCTAACAAGCACATCGTGAAAGTCGACTAAATAAGGCTGTTTTTTTTTTTTCGAAGCTGAAGTTATGGTTGTTCGTCCCCTTCTTGACTTTGCTCTTGTTCCAGAGTTTTGTGTGGCACATAAAGTTTACACATCAAGCTCATTTGAATGCAGACAGTTGATTCCCTACCTCTCAGGCAGATGTACCAATCAGTCAGTCAGATGCTCAGTCAGTCAGATGCTCAGTCAGTCAGATGCTCAGTCAGTCAGATGCTGTCTTCACAGTAAAGGTTGGCTGAATCTCCAGCACGCTCTGTCTGGTTGTACACTCTTTCAGACCGCTGACCATCCATCTCTTGATGTTGTTCTCCCACGTGTATCACTGCGTACATCTTGCTCTCCCTCCTGTATGATTTTTAAAAGTTTTAAGTCTTTTAATGTGGCCTAAGTATTTCAGTTGTCTCTCTCTCTTTTTTTAAAAAAATGCAATAATTCTCTGATGTACTTCGAATTTGAAGAAAACACATCAATTAGATGCTTTTTACGACATGCTTGTTAGAGAAACAGCAGGTCTATTCTTTTTGACCCCAAAACGAGGCGGCGGTATCCATACAGGGATTATTACATTTCTTTGGCTGATTTTCTTTTCTTGACCACTTATTTGTTGACTTTACCTTTCTTGACTTTTTTTCATTCTGGGCTGTCTAGCTAGTGTTTTCTTTTGCAAACGTCGCTCTCATATAATTTTTTACCATATGTTCTTAAAAACTGAAATATTTTCTCCGGACCATCATTTACTGCGGTGTTTCCAAAATCGTTATTTTCTTTCTGACTATTACTCATGTATTACTCTATCACTAACACTATCATTACATTCCCAGAGGCAGAAGAAACACAACCACTGTGCCACCAGCACTGCAGGAAGTCCTGCTGTGCCACAACCCACAACATGCAGTATGTGGTTCCATCCCCGAGACGCAGGGCAACTGAGAACGGCGTCCAGGGCGACGCCAACGCGGCAGAACCCAAGCAGGACAAAGTGTATACTGTAGAAGAAGCTATAGAATCGATTGGGCTGGGTTGGTTTCAAGTGAAGATCTTCTTAGTTGGAAAAATGATTACAGTAAGTAATGATGGTATTAGTAGTAGTAGTGGTAGTAGTAGTAGTAGTAGTAGTAGTAGTAGTAGTAGTAGTAGTAGTAGTAGTAGTAGTAGTAGTAGTAGTAGTAGTAGTAGTAGTAGTAGTAGTAGTAGTAGTAGTAGTAGTAGTAGTAGTAGTAGTAGTAGTGGTAGCAGTAGTAGTAGTACTAGTAGTAGTAGCAGCAGCAGCAGCAGTAGTAGTAGTAGTAGTAGTAGTAGTAGTAGTAGTAGTAGTAGTAGTAGTAGTAGTAGTAGTAGTAGTAGTAGTAGTAGTAGTAGTAGTAGTAGTAGGGATAGTAGTGATAGTAGTAGTAGCAGCAGCAGCAGCAGCAGCAGTTGTTACGGTAGTATATTAGTGATAGTAGCAGTTGTGTCTGTAGAATTGTAGGGATTCTCGCCAAACCGGCGGCGGTGGTAGAAATAGCAGCAGTAGTAGTATTAGTTGTTGATGATATGAAGTAGTAGTAGTAGTAGTAGTAGTAGTAGTAGTAGTAGTAGTAGTAGTAGTAGTAGTAGTAGTAGTAGTAGTAGTAGTAGTAGTAGTAGTAGTAGTAGTAGTAGTAGTAGTAGTAGTAGTAGTGATAGTAGTAGTGGTAGTTGTTGTTCTGGTAGTAATAGTAGCAGCAGCAGCAGCAGAAGTAACAGTAGTAGTAGAAGTAGTATATCGTTTATGCAGTTTCACGTATTTATACCCCAACGTTGTGAAGTTTATAAAGTGCCACAGTATCATTTATTGTACATCTACACAACTGGCTGTATTTACTGTTTTTATTTGACTTCCTAGGTTAGCATAGATGTCTGATGTGTGATGGGTCAGTCACCAGATTTACGTAAACAGCTGAACGATGTGGGTTGTTTCCCGTCTGTTGTCACAATGTGATTATTTATGACCATTATCTTATCAGTGAAGTAAAAACAGAATGCCCTCTGCACAATTTGCCTGTTTATTTCTTAAAGTCGCTGTGTTTTTTTTTTTTTTTAATGAATAAACAGATTTTAATATCTCATCGGCATAAACCTAGTTTTAGCAAAAGTTAAAATTAACTACGTTTGAAGAGGTTTTTTTTTTGTTGTTCTGTTGTCTAGTTAAGAAGGTAACGTTAGTGAAAAAGGAGCACTATTTTCTGCAAATTTCATTTAGTCCAGCTGTTATGCAATCTCGTCTCCCCCCCCCCCCCCCTATTAATATCTTATCATCCATTTGTTTAATTCAATTTTTCGCCATTTGAAGCCCTACTCTGGCTCTTGCCAGGGACCGCAATATAGCCCGACCATAAATATGGTCTAATGGCTGAATGCGGTTTTTGAGATCTCTCCACGGGCGATCCTCATCCACATGGTGGCACTTTGTGTCATCCTGTGTTTATCGCTTGTGTGATGCCCTGGTGGGGAAAAGTTACTTGCTTACTTGCGTCATCCCCTCTGGGATGCAATCTTCAGTTCTTTTGAAGCACCACCGTGGCTTTTGCCGGGAGTCCTAAATATACCCGGGTTGAAATATGGCCTAACGGCTGAACGGGATTTCCCGGACCTCTCCACTGGTGATCCTCATCCGCATGGTGGCTCTTGCCAGGGGCCGCAATATAGCCTGGCCATAAATATGGTATAATGGCTAAACGCCGTTTCCGGGACCTCTCCTCGGGTGATCCTCATCCACATGGTGGCACTTTGTGTCATCGTGTGTTTATCGCTTGTGTGATGGCCTAGGGGGGTAACATTTACTACTACTTGCCAGGAATTTAGCTGGCATCCTTTCAAGGCTAGGTCCACCGGAGAGCCATGGTCATTTCTGAATAAAGTCCGGCTCTTTTCGGATGTCAAACCCTGACCTTCAGATCCGCAGGCAAGAGTCTAATCGCCTCACCACTGCGGCTCCCATATTACTTTGAGAATTAATTTATGTCATTAACTTTTTTATTTTAAAAAAAAAATCGGTCAAGTTTTCTTGCTATTCTTCGAAAGTAGTCTAGTCAGCAGGAAAGTTACTAGGAAATAAAGGCGCCACTAATATGATACTGGACACATCATCCATCAAGTAAAGGTCAATCGGGAGATGTAAACCAGCGTCATTGCACACAGTTATAAACCATAAGTGTTCTGCAACCAGTAAGGACAGCTGATAAGAATTGTCCGCGTGTGTCGCCGTTCACAAGTAACTATGTAGCTACAGCGACGTTCCTCCATTTACCCCAGAGTATCACTCTGGTACCCATTTCCTAGAGGCTGGGTGAACCCCGTGAACCGCCCGGTTTCGAACACTGACCGTGGGCTGCAGCGAGTCGCAGCTGGATTTAAAAGCTAGTCTCCTATCGACTGCTCTAACGCTGCCCCCTGATATGTTGAACAATGGCACCAGTACAGTACAGTGATAGGCTAGACTGAGGTATAGAAACAGAAATCCAACAAGCCAACAACGGGATGAATTATTTATTCAAATTTTACTTTTTCAATCACAAGCATCGTCATTATCAAGTGCCTTTCTCGACTCGCCTGGGCGATCATGCCTCTTCACAATCAATAATCTTAAACATCATGTATCTGTTCATTTTTTGACGTTTCTGATGCTAAACACTACAAGATGTATATAAAAATAGGAGAAATGCCTAGAGTAGTGGTTCTCAACCTTCCTAATGCAGCGACCCTTTCATAACTTCAATCAATATGTGTTTTCCGATGGTCTTAGGCGACCTTTGTAAAAGGGTCGTTCGACCTACAAAGGGGTGGCCATCGACAGAATGAGAAACCGCTGACGTGGATCAAGAGGTAGACCAAGAACAAAATAGAAAGATAACATAATAGAAACTCTACAGCACTACGATGCGTCTATGGTCGACGCAGCCAGAAGAGCACGAAGCAGGACCTTAAATCTCCCTCGACACCCGAAGCGACTAAAGAGGACGTAAAGAAGAGGAAGAATGTAGTGATTTCAGTCAGCTCATTTGTGTGTGTGTGTTTTGGTGTGTCTTGTCATTATTTTGCCAATGAAGGCTAATCGCCGGAAAAACCTCTATTTGATTATTCTAAGTGGTTTTTTTAAAGCTGACATATACTTTTATCTGTCCATCTTTTACGATCATTTGTAGATTTTTTTAAAAACACTTTCACAATCGTTTAAATCTACACACAGGCGGCAGACGCCATGGAGATGATGATGCTAGCAGTGTTGTCTCCACTTGTCAGGTGTGAGTGGCAGCTAGAGGATTACCAAGTGGCGTTCATCACTACGGTAGGTTTCTGTGCTTGTTTACTTCATGAAATGTATTTTGATAAAAGGCTGCCTAGAATGTTAAACGCTGGGCTCTGAAGCGAGAGACACGGATTTGAATACTCGGTAACTCTGGGGATTTTTTCTGTCGTAGGATTAAAAAAAAATCCTCACCTGCACAGTCGTGGCGACAGCACTGCCATGCGGTCGTAAATCCCCCCTTTCGTACACCGCAAAATTGGTCTAATAAAGGCAGTATTTGGCAGTTTTGGCAGTTTTCTTTTCCTTAGCGCCACCACTAGACGTCGCTGATTCATAGATGATAGGTAGCCGAGCACAGGCACGCTCGGCTGCTTGCTATGCTGTGAAATTGTCTTCATATTCCAGTTCTCTACGTGTGAGTTAGCGGGCCCTGTTACAGGGAAAACAAGAATAGACCCACTGACTACCCGGAAACACGCCGTAAGAACCTATTGGGAGCTTCCTTCGAAGTCGTAGTGCATCTGCCTGAGAAGCAAGGAACCAACAGTCTGCACATAAGAGAGTTAGATCTGTCAGATGCACACGCAACACTCAGGTTCTGGAACAGGACTGCAGTCCAGAAGTGAACGAACAACCAGAACTTTCTGCTGGAGTTTACAACTAGTGAACGCGAAGAAGAAGAAGAAGAAGAAGAAGAAGAAGAAGAAGAAGAAGAAGAAGAAGAAGAAGAAGAAGAAGAAGATTCCCGTTCACCGATTGTAATTCTGGTGGAAAGTTTTGGTTGTTCCGCGACTTCTGGGCTGTTTAAGGACCTCGGTGTTGAGTGCACATCCGTTTTACAGATCTGTCTTATTTGTGTACAGACTGCTGGTTACTTGCCTCCTGTCAGGCAGATGCACTCCGAAGATTTTACAGCCACAGAGATCTACGTGGCAAGGTCAAACAATTTATTACTAGAACTAAAATTCATAGATAGAAGGGAAAAGAAAGCCTATGGCATCTTTGAAGAAATTTTCCCTAAAGATAAAACTGAGGAGTGTAATCAATGATTGCATACTAAGAAAACAATCTATCCCCAATGTTAATGACACAGTGTTGGTAGGATTGTCTAATTATTCATAGTACAATTTACATCATAATCACATCTCGAATTAAAGTAAAATGTGAAACAATACAAATTACATTTTGGTCATATACACAATGCATTATACGCCTAATGGCGTGGAAAAGGGTCCTTTACTTTACTTACATCTAGTAATTTCCCCTGGTCTCTGGGTAGTGAGATCAGACGCCCGTGTGTATTGTTGCGCACGTAAAAAATCCCTTGGCAATTGGAAATCGAATAGAGTAGCCTAACTGCACTGCCGGAGTAAAATTTTAAGTTGAAAATCTACTCAAAGTATTTTAGGATCCTCGCCGGTGCTACGGAGTTCGTGCTGAGATTCTTTGGACTCAGACTTGAGCTAGAAGTGAAACAGAGCACTTGTGGGTTACTACCCTTGTACCATGATGTTGATTCATTGTTTAAACCTAAACCATTCAACCTTTAAATGTTCATTGTTGAATTAAGAATCGACGTCACAGCAACCAAGAAGCTCGCATGAGCGCTCTGTCCCCATTTTCAGCAGCAAGCGAAGAGTCCTTGTTCTGATGGCACCAGTAACTGTCTGATTGTATATCTGTCTCTCCTTTCTCGTGATTGTTGAGCGTCAGCCAGACTCCCTGGTAACTCTTTGCAACGCCATTATCCTCAGACCGTAATGATCTGTTTGAACCACCGCACTGTTCACCTGCTCCCAAAGGGCCCTCACAATATCTAACGTGGCATACATGAATACACCACTAAATGGTGCAGAACCGGCCCGTTCAACCTCTGAAGAAGTTATAATTAGGTGTATCCATAACGGCCATACTAGCCTGACGTAGTCTGCTTTACTATGCCAGTACATATGTACAGTACAGTGTAGTTTACGAGGTGTTTGTTAGTGTGTACAGTTGAACCCTACTAGGATTATTAGGCACACAGGCCCGTCTTACATTCCGCCCTTCCAAACACCCATTTTCACATAGCAGTTGTATTTGATCAATAAAGCATGTTATGTTCATATAATAATATGGATATTATGGATATCAAGAAAAAGCACAAAAGCATGGGTGGTAACATGCATGCGCACACACAAATATGCATATGCCCACCCAATCACTCACTCGCTTACACACACATACATACACACCCACATACATACACACCCACATACATACACACCCACATACATACACACCCATGTACACCCAGAACCGCACACTGAGTCATAAACACCCTGTGACTCAAAGTGCAGTGTGTCATTATGTGGATGAGAATCCCCCAGGTACAAATGCCATAAACCCTGTTAAACAGTAAAGATTAAATTAGGGCACGCGATGGTTATAAAGAAACAGAAGTCCGGACAGGGTATGTATATGACGCGTTTGTCCATCCATTCATCCATTCATTAATCCATCCATCCGCCCATCCATCCATCCATCCATCCATCCACCCATCCGTCCGTCCGTCCATCCATCCTATCGTGTACGATGTTCCTTGATGCACCGCACACTTGCCTAGTGTCCAGGTTTGCTCAAAAGTGTCACAGTTACATGTCATCACTCCCTCCCAACAGCAATGGAGGACGCCGGACACATGTTGACCGTCAAAGTCGATTTAATGTATTTCAACACCAAGACAATGAAAGGCATCACCAGACATGGATTTCTATACTGCTACAGTCATTCTAACTAGCAAGGCAACACGCACGCAGGACGCTCTGGAAGACTTCTACTGCCACTCTATGTTCCGTGGTTGCTACGGGTAAACATTACCCGCTCTCGCAAATCCACTGCTCGTAATTTCATGACGGTCTCTCTGACATCTATCACTTGGATATGCTGTCACTAGAGAGATCATACAGGCTGATGCACAATATTTTGTGGAGATTATCCTGACCTTCCGTCTGCGGCCTGACACGAACCTTGAGATCTCCTGATCTCATCTCGCGAGCTTCCGTCACGCTGGACCGGGCTACCGCGGCAACACTCGCAGATAGCCTGGACACTTGACGTCAGCGTAACACATAGGTGTGCAGGACTAGTCTGGCAACATTCAGGCTAGAACATACCTTCCACCTCAGCGTCGTAGAGTCAACGGTTTCTCTCTCTCTCTCTCTCTCTCTCTCTCTCTCTCTCTCTCTCTCTCTCTCTCTCTTCACATCCCGTTCAATTCTGTACTGCACCGCACCATGTTTTACGTTCATTAACGCATTTCCCTTTCATATACCACACAACACATCCATCCATCTATCCATCCATCCATCCATCCATCCATCCATCCATCCATCCATTCATCCATCCATCCATCTATTTATGATTAAAAAAAAACGACCAGGTTCAATCTAATGAGAGCAAAAAGATAGCTTCCGTGGTGTAGCGGCTAGGCGCATGTCTGAGGATGTATAAATGTATGTATCTCGTTCAACCCCACCAAGACCCTACAACGAGCAACCGACACTCGGTGACACAAAGTGCCACCACTCGGATGAGGATCACACGGGCTCAAGTCACAAAAACCCCTTTCGACCGTTAGGTTTTATTAGCACCCCTGAGTAAAGCTGTTGGGGCTTCAGATAACGAAAAATTACGTCCCATAATAGGACTTGCTTTGTCACAGTATGGGATACGTTTGCACAGTAACATCTGTGTGCAAGTCAAACTTTAAGGGTCGCTGAGTGAATTACAAAAGACAGTGAAGTTCACACTAGAGACAACATTGCAGATATAGATAATTTATTTCAATCAAACGAAAGAAGAAAAAGAAAATGTGTACGGTGTAAGGTAACAAAAGACACCTGTTACAATACGGTATGCAATGAAACTGTATGTCATTACTACAAGTGTATACAATTGAGCTTCTGTCTGTTGACAGTATTTACACAAGTATGTTTGTTTGGTTTCGTTTTCCCCCCTTGTTAAAACCTTTAAGCATTGCGTCCATAACAACTTGATATGTGATCATCCCCAGTGTCAAGCGTTTTGTAGGCAAGTGTGGGCGACCACCCGTCTCCACACCTACATAATCTCCATTTAATTGTAGTAATTCATACCGCCACAGCTGCATACCCTATTGCGGATATTCTTTTGCTGACTTTGTTTTATCTCTGTTTCTGTACACACGTAGACATTTAGTGTTCCTGTATTTTTCTCCTTTTCTCTTCTCCTGGAATACCTCGCTGTGTCAAAGCAAGAAGAGATCCCTGGAACGGGCCCTTCTGTTCGCTTCGTCTAAACTACTTTTCAGTGTCACTGATATTTCTGCGGTCCATGTTCTGTGTGGTCGGCCTCTGGATCTGTTACCGTTGTATCTGTATAACATTTCTCTATGTGATGTCTTGTCTGTTGCCAGTCTTATTACATGGCCAAACCATTTGATGTGCTAAATACCTGTAAAGTTTAGTACTGGTTCTGTACCGACTCTCCCCCCGACATCATCCTTCTTTGGTCGACCTTTCCTTGTTACATCTAGCAACATAAATAAACATCCCCCCCCCCCATTCTCCCCCAGGATTCTGAAGACAGGATCCGGACATATCGGGAGAAGAAAATAACTCGAGAGCTGGACGATAACTGATAAAATTATTGGGGGTAAAAAAAAAGCGCAAGAAAGCGAAGTGATAAAATCCTGAATGGCCTGGCCACTCGGATGGGGCGAGGCATGAGCTCTGATCTGATTAGACTAGTTATGGTGTGAACTGACGAAACGTCACAGCTTAAACCGGGCCATTCTGCTAATTTTACACAGTAGCCAAAATATTAGAAAATGGGGATCCAGCACTGCACCTAGTACTCATTCAAGGCTGGGTCGACCTGGGAGTCAAGGTCATTTTTGAAAAAAGTGCGGCTTCGTCATTACGTGAGCCCACGACCTTTCGATCCGCAGGCGGGTGTCTAGCTGCCAGCGCCACGGCGACTCCCTCGTCCAGGAGGTAAACTGGTCGACGAGGGTTGAGTTGAGTTGAGTTGAGTTGAGTCAAGAATTGACATCACAGCGCTCGGGGCATTATCATGCGTGCTCCGTCTTCAGCAGCCAGCGCAGAGTTCCAATACTGATGGTACCGGTCACAATTTGGTTATATGTCCGTCTTGCCAGACCCTCTGGTTACACCCAGATGCCTCATTCTCTCCAGGCCATAATAATCTTCTATCTCTATTGATTCCATTGCTTGTTCCCAAATGTCCTTGACCACATCTGCCTAGTCATGTATCAATTCACCACCCCATGGTGCAGATCCAGCCAGTCTGGGTGCCTGTTCATTACCCACCACGCCAGCATAGTCTAGAGAAAAGAGCAAAAGTATGATCACCACCCTTTCCTGTGAAGCTTGCCACTCTTCTCGAAGCACCCCTGTCTTCACCTGTCGATGAGGACACCTACTGAAGATCGGTAGTTCCTGAATAGTAATTGGCAAGATTTCCGTGAGCCACTTGCTCGGCCTCTGAGAGCCGGATTTGACCCGCGGGCCGCCAGTAGAATAGCCCTGGCAAACGCTTATCGACATGACCCATGAGGAGGAGTCAGTAAATGGTTATAGTTGTCCCCATGTAGCCTAGCCGTCAATCCATTATCATATGCATTTTGACTGCTTAAAGCAGCTTGAAACATAAATTAAAACAACATTAAAGAGGTCACATAGTTCACCTGGGGGCAGGTGGTTGGGGAGGGTGAGAAGAACACCTCTTAATTTCACGTAATAATTTATTGTGCCCGTATAAATTGTATCCTATGCGTATATTGTAAAACCCGCATATAGTCTGGTGATCAGCTGGTCTCTAAAAGATCACAGTGACCTGAAACTTGCTGAAAGCGAGATCGGGCTTTGAGAGTCGAGATACGTCATGGAATATCATTGTCAGGGCACTTATATTGTTTGTATCTGATCATTTCACATTCCTGTATAGTAGAAGTGGCCCAGCTGGCGCAGAAGTATCTGGTTTATAGTACAGTAGACACGCTGGTATTATTGCAGAGTCAACACAATCTGTACTGCCTTTCTCCGCTCTGTTTGTATTAACTGTATTTGTTGTGGTAGGGGCTTTGTTTTTGTTGTTGCATGGGGTCTAAGTAACTCCCCCATCCAAACAATTGTAAACACATTCTCTTTTCGAGTATTTGTTTGTATACACATTTCATATTATTACATATATGTCTTATAGTTGGTGCATTTGGGAACACAATAATAGTATTAATTTGGCGCCCCACTCTCTGTTCAACCGCATTTACAAGATAAACATAAAAAGCATTACTGCGGTCAGTTTTTGTTTGCTTTTTTGTGTGTTCACTGGCTGTAAACTCCAGCGGAAAGTTATGGTTGTTCGTCCACTTCTGGAATTTAGTCTTGTTTCAGAACTTGCGTTGTGTGTGCACATCCGTTTTATTGATTTCGCTAACTTGTATACATGCTGTTGGTTCCTTGCATCTAAGACAGGTAGGTGTACTCTGATTTCGAAGAAAACCCCTAATTAGTCGACTTTTACAAAATGATTGATAGGGAGGCAGTTTGTCTATGCCCCCACCCTTCCATAATGGGCCACGGAAACCACAAGGAGAATATAGTCAACAAATGCAGTTACTGCCACCCATTTCATAATGAAAACTAGATGTTTACAATGACATTCGTATTACCAAGCTGCATGCCAAAAAATCAACAACTTGCACCCAACAGCTACTGCGTTACATATTTTTTCAAGTTCAGCAGGATTTTTGGAACGTACTGTAATTGCCATTCAGCGCATAATATTTATGAACCCGTCTGGGTTCTGGGCCTCATTTACTTTTGTGGGGGGATGGGAGTGGATGGGTCGAGAATGGGAGAGGGGGGGGGGTGGGGGTGGATGACACAGTGCCCCTCTAACAAACATGTGGTAGAAATCGACTAATTAGCAGTATTTCTTTTAAAGTCGGAGCACACCTGCCTGAGAGTTAAGGAACCAACAGTCTGCAGACAAATAAATTAGATCTGTAAAATGGATGTGTACGCAAAACTCAAGATGTGGAACAAAGTCCAGAATTGGACGAAAACCCACAGCTTACTGTCAGAGTTTACAGCCAGTCAACGCTATGAAGAAGGAGATTGTTTTTGTTATTATTATTTTTCAGCGCTTAAACAAGGTTGGGCTAATTTGAGTCCCCACACCTTCACATATTATAAGCAACCCGAGCTCCCATCCCCTTCCCCTGATTAATTTCCTGATTGCGGTGCTTGTTGTGTGTATCAAATATCTCTTGATTTGTTATCTTTTGCACTTGGTCTGAGCGCACCAAAAATCTGGCTAGAGAGTTTTAACTTTGTACAGCCCGCTGCTGGTGTTGCGTCTTTTGCATTTATTTATTCATAATTTTCTCACCGCAGTCATTATGGGGAAAAAAATTAGGTCATTTGGGATTTAATGGAATTGAAAGATTTTTAGAACATTATGGGCTAAGAAGAAAAATTAACATCCTTAAAGATTTTAAAATCGAGAGAAATTGGCTCGTAAACATGATCTTGTCGCAGAAACTGAAATGCTTTGGCCAAGTCATTGTAGAGAACCCTGGTAGCAGGGCTACTAATACTGGGTCCCCCCCCCCCCCCCTTACCCGCAGATCTGGGTTTTTATGTGACGCCTTGGGGAAATCTAGGTTTTTAAAAATTAATATATCCTTATATAAAGTGGTAAATGTTTCGTTTTGTAACTAAACATTTTGTACTTTTCAAAATTCTGTTTTTGTTGGCTTATCTTTGTTCTTTGCTTTTATATTGCTTGGATTTTCGTTCAGTTAACCTTGGTTTAAAAAAATCTAATTGACACCCCTGCCTGCTAGAGATCAAGGTTCCAGGTAGGAGGACCAGCATGAATGAATATGGGCGCATGAGAGAGGCGGTACATTAGGCCGGAAATATGCATGAGGTTTCTTTCAGGTGGGCTGTGATTAGAGCGACGTTTTGTAATAGACCTGCTGCAGGACTCTCCAGACAATCTTCTGCACTATATAGCATTAATCATCTGTTTTAGTAACAGGTGGCACCACTGTAACGGTTTTAAAAATGGCTTCCAAAGGCATTCGATTAAAACAACGTTATGTCATAGAATTCCTCAGCGCTGAAAGCGAGACTCCAACTTGCATCCACCAATGTTTGAATAATGTTTATGGAGATTCAACAGTGAATGTTGGCACTGTCGGACACTGGGTACATTGGTGTGATGAAGCTGAAGTAGGTCAGTCCTCAGTGGCTGACGCAAAACGGACTGCATTCCATTTTGTCCAATGCTAAAGGTCATGTCCAGGTCATTAGTTCTTCTAGTGTTATAAGAGGCTAGAAACAGAATTCTTGCATAATATAAATAGCTAGTTTTAACATTTAGCTGTGTATCCTGGACACTTAATAAACACATCAAACAATTTGTTGAGACCTCAGATGTGTGGTTTTACAGAAGAATCCTTAGAATTTGTTGGACAGCCAAAAAGAGCAGTCCATATGTGTTGAAAGAGAAACGGGAGTTGGGGGGGGGGGGGGGGGGGGTACTTATCACAAACATCAGAAAGAGACAGTCATCATTTTTTTTAAATAAGAAGAAGCAAAGTGGACAGAGTTGTCACCACTGAAGAAAAGATATGTGGATAAAGATATAGAGGAAGACAGTGTCAGAAGATTCTTGATGGCCTGTAGTCATGGTGTGGCGTCAGCACACGAACTGACACACGCAGTTGCAGATTGCTTATAGCAGAGAGCCATATCGCCCGCGAGAGCTGGCAAGGCACCTGATAATGATGATGAGTTAATGAAAGATTGTTAGATTTGCATATATAGAATATTTCAAGAAAAAGTAGCAATCCACAGTATCAGGAATTTATTTGCAATCCGTCTTTGCCAGGTGAGGCAAAGAGAATTGAAGAGAGCTTTATAGTGCCACAGAAGAAGAAGGAGAAAAAGAAAAGAAGAAGAAGAATAAAAAGAAGAAGAAGAAGAAGGAGAAGAAGAAGAATAAAAAGGAGAAGAAGAATAAAAATAGGAAGAAGAAGGAGAAGAAGATAAGAAGAAGAAGAAGGAAAAGAAGAAGAAGACAATGAAGAAAAAGAAGAAGCAGCAGCAGAATCCTCTGTGCACATCATGAGAAGTTGGCAGCTGGAGTACAGCTTGACAACGTGAGAAGATGTTCAACATTTTAGCATCAAGACATAGAAGGAGAACTCCCATGACTATTTTGTTAACATATTGCAACATTGTTGAGTTTAATTGTTACAGCTTCCACCAATTTAGGTAGCTGCCATTTAAGTTAGATAACTATATTTTCAACATCAGAATGATCAGCATGACAGAATAATTTTATAATTTTGTATTTACAGGCAGTTTTCATCGGAATGGGAATTTCCGCGCCATTGTTGGGCATGTTGGGTGACAGATTTGGAAGGAAAGTTGTAAGTTTTCAAAATTCAGTCATCCGTTCACTTGTTTTGTACTATACAGTTGATTAATACTGGGAAACGGAGGCGCTGTCCCTGGGAAAACATTAAGTGTGAGATGTTTAGCCTCATGATTTTCTAGGATTGTGGGCTCTAGAGGCTTGAGCCTTGTTCAAGCTCACAGTAATAATAATAGTGTTCTGAAATTCAAATGAATAAAACATAATATTTGAAATAATATGAAAGCATTATGCAAGCAAATACTTAACAAGAACGTCCACTTGTGGCTATAGAGACCATTTAACCACCCTGCCTGGCACTCTGAAGGTTGTGAGTTCGTTCTATGGCTGCACCCTCAAGTTCACATGTGCAATTTTTACAGAGATCCAGGGGATTATCACCAGAGCTACAGAGTTTTTGCTTTGTGGTGCCCTCTTGGCAAGCGGCTAGCCATTCTGCGGAGAGAGGCCGAGCCATATGGGATAAAACCCAGTGCAGTGAAATCGATCCTCTCAACTTTAACCTGTAACCTTTAAACTCCCTCACCTGAGATCTGAAAATGACAACATGGCTGCCCAAATGTGTACGTATTCCATTGGGTGCCACCCCACTGAAACCACGGATAAACTTGCTAAGAAAGAGGCAGAGTGTGAACAGAAAGACAATGCAGTAACACACTTTGAGAAGAGAAGGTCCATCCAGTCTATCAGAAGTGAACAGTGTGCAGACTAAAAGACATGTCCTGCAAGAATTTTTCTTGTACAGCCAATTAAGAAGGGAATATTGGCCCAGTAAGTCAACACTGCACTCAAAGTTGTATGGAACTAAAAGGGAACTCATAAAAACTGTCAAATTTATCACAAGAACTTGTCTATCAGTGTAAATCAGAAAGCAAACACAAGAAGAAGAAGAAGAAGTTTAAATATCTTGGAACAGCATTCACTGAAAATGTTAAATTGGATAAAGAAATTAACATACGATGCAGTAAAGCAAACTAAGTATTGGGACAGTTAGCCCTTGTACAAAACAAGACAATTGCAGTAACAGCACCCAAAAAAAAAACATCTCCTACAAAGGATATTCATTCCAAACCTATGCTACCCAGTGCCAGACATGGCCACTCACAACAAATCATAAAAGAAAATTGGTAACCATGGAAGTGAGATGTCTGAGAAAGGCTGCAGGAGTGACCACAAGAGACAAAATCAGGAATGAGGTCATAAGAGAACAAGTCGCTACAGAACCTATTCTAAATGACATACAAAGACAGAAAATCAAATGGTTGGTCCATTTATAGAGAATGCTTTGCGATACTATATCATCATACAAGGCATACATCAAAAGAGAAGGACGTAAAGCACAAGGAAGACCAAGAACAAAATGCAAGGACAACATCAGAGAAACTCTACAACAGCACGATATGTCTATTGTCAAGGCTGCCAGAACAGCGTCAAGAAGCAGAACCTTCGAAGTGGTACAAGAGGAAGTAAAGAAGAAGAGGAAGAAGAAGACAAATGACATGCTTGTTATGAAGCAGTGGGGCAACACCCGCTTTCCCCCTTTCTAAGGACTTTAACAATATATATTGGTGTCTTCATTATCTGACACTTGATTACATCAATCATACAGATTCTGGTCATGGTGACGATGTGTGTTGGTTATTTTGGAATATTGACAACCTTTAGCCCCACCTACGGCTGGATGCTAGTACTCCGGGGACTGGTTGGTGTCGGCATGGGCGGGTCTCCGCAAGGGTGAGTATTCATTGTCATTTAATTCTTTCTTTGCAAGTTGTGACATTAACCTATCAACAAGTAGGTCACCTATTGGCTTGCCGGTAGATGACTTTGTCACCGGTCGGGACAATACTCGGGTCTGTCTCCTTTGATCACATCAACACTTCAGGAGTCCTTTTCAGGGCTCTTGGTGGCGAGCAATGCAAAGCCAGTTTAAATGAGCCCACGGCCGGTGTTCGAAACCGGGCGGTTCCCGGGTTCACCCAGCCTCTAGGAAATGGGTACCAGAGTTAATACTCTGGGGTAAATGGAAGAACGTCGCTGTAGCTATGGAGCTTCGTGCGGACGGTGACACAAGTGGACAGTTTCTTATCAGCTGTCCGTACTGGTGGCAGAGCACTTATGGTTTATGACTGTGTGCAATGACGCTGGTTCACATCTCCTGACTTTACCTTTTTAGATAATCTAGTCCCAATTATAACCGAAAGCTCCCCCTTCAGGGATGCTGGTTGAACATGATGGTTTTTTTCTCCAACAAAGCAACCACTTACGAGGCAATAAACTGGTCTCATGTTTATTTCTTACTCGAGACATGGGCTGGAAACTCTGGTTTCCCTGTGTGGGTTAGAGAGGCCCTATTTTGGAGGGGGAAAAAGAATAAACCCACTGTTCCCCTAACTAGATTGTCGTCAAATATGACTAATTGTAGGATTTTCTTCGAAGTTGGAGTGCATCTGCCTGAGAGGCAAGAACCGAGCAGTCTGCATACAAGTAACCCAGATTTGTATAATGGATGTTAACTTCACGTTCTTGAACATGACTAAAGTCCAGAAGTGGATTAAAAAACCAGAAATTTCTGCCGGAGTTTACAGTCAGTAATCGCTATGAAGAATAAAAAGATCAAATCTCTTTCTTAAATGTTGTTTATATTCTAGGTACAGGATTATGTTCTGATATGTTTAAAATTGTTATTGTGTTTGTTATTTGACCTGTGCTTGGTTAATATAAATTCTTGTAAACTATGGTGCCTTTTCACTACTTTGAGAGAATTCTGTCCGTATTCCATAGTTCTAGATTTCAAGCTATAAGAAGAACATGGCCAATGAAGACACCTTTTCTTGGAGTGCCTAACTGGTCAGATATATTAGTACACTTCTTTTCATAGTGACGTTCACGCACCATTTGGAGGTAATAGGTTCGATTCCCGGCACGTTAACTATAGCTTTTGATTTGTATGTTATCTAATATGTTCTTCTATCTTTCTGCTTCTTACTATGAGTGCTGATCAATACACTGTCTCCTTGTTTATTAAGAATAAAAAGGAGATTCCTTGTTCAGGTGATGGAAGTTTGTAGTGCTGTCAGGGGACCAAAAAAAAAAAAAATATCCTGACCTGCTCAGTTCATGGGGACTTTACTAGCCATGCGACCCTAAATCATCAACCACTCCCACCCCCCCCTCCCCCTGGTATTACATAACCATCATCAATCAATCATGTGCCGTCTCCACAGTGAAAGTTGGCTGCAGTGGTGGATCTTCCTTACTCTCTGTCTTAGGTCTGGGTAGTACACTTGGTGAGTCTCTTATCGATTGCGCTAATGCGGCCCTTTTTGTTGTCATGCCTTCGACGAAAAGAGTGATATATCTTTAAATGTGGCCAAAATATTTCAGTTGTTTATTTTTTTAGATTTGATTTCTTTCAATAACTCTCTTTTCATTCACAGGCTGACCTTAAATCACTGTATGCAATTGTTTTTATTTTGAAGCTAGTTATGTGGGCAGAACTTAATGACACCTGGAGAAACGAGTCGTTAAGCACATTCCAGCATGGGTGGGAAAAGCCATGCAAAATAATATTCAAAATGAGAATACTGGCCTCAAAAATCACCCCTCTGCAATAGCACTCCATCTTTTAAAATCTGGTCAAATGGTAGCTAAGGACAACGCTTTTCAAATCCTTTGTAGGTCAACCAATGGCCGAACGCTAAGATTTCTCAAAGCTTCCGCGATTCATCACCTGTGCTGGGAACTCTGTGTACGGAATGAGATGGTTAAAACAGGCAGTCATGTTTGATCGTTGTTAAAATTGTACTTCAGTTATAAAGGATTCACTTATTTGCTTCATTTATGTAATTGTTACTGTAGTATGCACCTGACGAGATACAGCGAAATATGCCCAGCAATAAATTGTCCAATTTTTTTTTCGTCTTCTTTGTTAGTAAATAATTTATTTGTTTTAAAGGACAGAACATTCATGGTGTTATACTGTTTTCAGGTTTTCTCTGAATGCTGAATACATTCCTTCTAAGTACAGAGCCAAAATGCTACTATTTGGAACAGTAAGTTTTCACAATTTAATTGTTAAAAAAAAAAAAATGCTTTTATTTACTATACAAATTGTCTAAAGAGTACCCACAGTTGTCTGAATGGAATTTATTAGGTGGTAAGGCCCCAATCTCTTCCACAGTGGGACACTCGTACCATCCTTAAAAAAAAAAACAAGTACAGGTCTAAAAAAAAAAAAAAAAACCATCCACTGCTAGAATCAAACCCTAGTTCTCAAGGATCATTTAATTGTTAAACTCATTCACTAACATTTAAGCCATGGAGTCACACATAAAACAGCGCTGAATTTGTTTTCCAACAGTTACAACGTCTAATCTGTAATCTTAACTGGCAGGCAGTGCACCAACATATGTGGGAAGAAGCATGGACAGAGCAGATATCATCAACTCTGTAGAGACTAAGCTAGTGGATACTGACGAATCTCTGACATTAACATGACTGGGTGACATGAGAGTAAAGCCTGGTGAAGCAGGTCTATGCTGCCTTTGAGGCCGAGATAGAGACATTAAAACCAACTTCTCATGGGAACAATTAGTAGAAGTACCCTGGAGTGGCTGCTGCCTCGGAGGATTGAGCACGCATGGGAATGCCCAGTTTGCAGTGACGTCGATTGTGATAACATTATATTTAAAAGAATGTATGACAGTCAGATGTGTATAGGAATCAGCAGTAATAAACTGGCCATTCAAAATGGGTATTAAATTAGAACAAACATACAGAAAATGGTTGCGGGGGCAAAGAAAGTATCAACTCCGGCTGGGTACAGTGAGCATGGAGACACTGAGATGGCTGCTGCATTTGAGGATGGAGTACAAATTGGTCGGACTCATGTACCAGGATGTCGGGTTAGGTTTAAGTTAGTCTCCCCAAACAAAGTAGGTCACGTTTCATTCACAAGTTTGTTGGGCTGGTCTACTTTTCTGCAGGTTACGGGTGTGCCGCTCTATTGTTTGCTTTCTGGGTTGTCTTGCATTTACGTTTGATTCAGAGAAAGAGAATATCTGTGATAAAGGTTACAGCACTCTCTAGTGGGGTTGTGTTAGACCCGGTTTGTCCATGTTTTTGGAGTGTTAAATTTGCTGCCGTGCTGAAATATACAACACACAATATCAACGGTGTTGCGGAAAACCCCTGTAACCTTGTACTAAAGTCATGTGACTCAAGGTCTACCAATCAGAAGTGAGCTAGTGTGTGTATGGGCGGGATCTGGGGAGCGAAACCAAAATTTTACCAGATGTTGATATAGACAACAAGTAACAGACAGATGTGTGGCTTGGTTGATCGTTTGATTGACTGATTAGGTAGAGAGATTCACTGTATTAACAATGTTCATTGATTGATTGGAATTAATTGTGGTTGTACACAGCATAGACAAGCAGAAACAATATCAGGACTGGAACAGGATAATGTCTTACTATTGTTGGTTTTCCTTATTGTACCCCAGTAATAGACAGGTCTAAAATGCAAGATAGGCATAAAAGATTAAGCTTTGAAGTTATTTTTGCTACCAGCAGCACTTTGCTAATGTAGTTTCCACATATGGACAGTAGTCTACGGTTTTGCTGCCTGAGCTACTGAGTTTAATGCTTGATGCAGCTCTGTACTCTATTTTTTTTTTAAATGTAGATGCTTTTTATTTGTGCAGCCTTTGAGTCATTGTGTTAAATATGGCCTGTAGCCAGTTTACGTGTAGGCTGGTGAAATACCTAATGTAATAATTCTAGGGGTGTTTAGTCAACTTATCATGCCCGACTGCTTCCATCAACTACAAACTGCTTTTATACTGGTGACTGTTGACTTTGGCGCCTCTACTTTATGCATTTACAACGTGCACATATTTCTGGATTGTTCCGGGACTAATTGTTTGCTCACCAGTTTTTCAAATGGGACAGTAGGGGACATTTCATTTGATTTTCACTGGCACAGGAACGGAGCAAGTGTGGGGAAACCTGATTGCAGTGAAGTTGAAACCTTGATTAAGACCAAGACTAATAGACAGGAACAAGCTTTTGCTATATTGACTATTTCATTCACAATAAATTGATTTGCAAATTGCAGAAAATAAAAAATCATTCCAAATAGTGAACTGCACAAATATTAACTAGTAACAAAAACCAACTTACACAAAATTACAAAATTGTACAAAATAACAAATTGTACAAAATACAAAATTTTACCAAATGTATGAAAAGTAATGAACTTTGATACATTTCTAGATCTTCTGGACTCTAGGGAGTGTCTTTGAGATTGGCTTGGCAATGATCGTAGTGCCAAGTCTTGGATGGAGATGGTTGCTAGCCTTCACAGCACTTCCTGTTCTAGTAGCATGTTTTGGACTCATTGTAGGTTGTGGTTTTGTTATATTTGTACTTACTGTGTTACACTATTTCAACATCTAATTAATCATTAAGGTACCCTAGAGAGGATCACTTGTTGATACATGCATCCAATCCAATCAGGCACAATCAATTTTGACGATGAACCATCAGAGGATTTTGCAATAAAAAATGTGGTAAGCAAGGATGTGTACTTGCCACTACCCTTGTTTTTTTATACAGTTCTCACTGCTTTTGAATTGTGCCTTTTAAGATCAGGAGGATGGTATAATTATCAGTTTTCTGTTAGATTGCAGTTTTTGCAATATTGGCTGGCTGATAACCAAGACCAAGATTAGAAAGGTACTGCTCACGAGAGAGTTTGTTTTTGCAGACGAGGCTGCAATTACAGTACACTCATAGGAGGAACTGCCACATTTCCCACCTGCATTCCCTGGTACATCTTGTGAATTTAGACTAAGAATCAGGAAAAGAGACAAGGACTCTGATTATTGAAAGACCGACAATTGTCACTGACAGCGAACAACTAGAGCTTTTACATGCCTGAAATCCTTAGTCAATATGTAACTATCACTGGCGCAGGAAATCAACATCAGGGTTAGTAAGGCAGCATTATCAATGAGCAGATTACCACACACAAAAAAAGAGTGGGAGAACAGAAAGCTCGTAGTTAAAACATCCCTGAGGATCATTGCTGAAGCTATGTGATTCGTGCGAGCGGCTAGCCGCTGGCCATTCTGCAGGGAGAGACTGCTGAACAGGATGAAACCTGGAGAAACGAAGTAGATCATCTTGGCTTCAATTTTTAACTCTTATTCGTCTTAAAATGAGCTGGTTTTACTAGCCCGACAGTCTCTAGGGGCTGTAATTTGTGAAACTGCATTCACAATACCTAAGGCACTGACATAAAAGGGATAGTTAGTTAGTTAAGTCAAGAATTGACATCACAGCACTCGGGGCATTCCCATGCATGCTCCGTCTTCATCTTCAGCAACCAGCGCAGAGTTCCAATACTGAGGGTACTGGTCACAATCTGGTTATAGGTCCATCTCGCCTTTCCTCTGAGTGTATCGAGTCTGCCAAACCCTCTGATTACACTTAGGTGTTTTACTATAGAAGTAAATATATAATAACAAGTTTAAAAAGTTAAAGTTAACAGGATCGACTTCACTGCACTGGGTTTTATCCTGTTGGACTCGGTCTCTTCGCAGAATGGCTAGCCTGGCAAGAGCACCATGCAGAGCATGAACTCCGTAGCTCCAGTGACAATCTCCAGTAAAAACTGCACTCGTGAATAACAAGTTTTGTATTATAATAGAGAACTTCAGGTTTCTTTCAAATTAAGACCTACCACAAAAATAAGCACCAGCACGATTTTTCAGGATGCTTTTAACAAAAACCCTACTCCCCCCCCCCCCTCTCCCTTCCCCCCACAAAGCTCTAGTTCGTCAGCTAAAATGAGAGACTTGTTGCTGAATGACCAGTCAGAGTACAGATGCCAACAATTGTACAGAAAATTCAGGTGGAAATTCAGGATATGGGGAGTTCAGGCGATGTTCCGGAAGAAAAAAGAAGATGACATGACTGTATTTGAATGAATGTACAATTTTGTGCTTGAAAAAAAATGTAGATTTTTGCATTGGAGAAAAAATAAGACATAATAAGCCCTAGAGCTCTTTTTGAAAAAAAAAATTTATATAAGACTGTGTCCTATTTTCGGGAAAACATTGTAAAACATGACTACATTAAAAAAATGTTTTTATGAAGTTATGTATGATCTTTTAAATACATTAATTCTTTTTAAATGTTATTATAGTTTATCCCTGAATCTGCAAGATTTCTCACTGCTGCTGGATATGTTGACGATGCCTACAAGATTCTGGCGCAAGCAGCCAGGACAAACAAATCCACTCTACCTGAGGGAAGATTAGTCATGTCCCCAGATGTAAGATTCATTTTCTCCTTTGTTAATAAAACATAATAAAGTCAGAAATGAAGTCGTAAGAGAAAACGTTGGCACAGAACCAGTTCTAAATCACATACAAAGACAACTAACCAAATGGTTTGCCCACTTAGAGAGGGAATTTCTTGTGATGCATTATCATTTAGGGCACTCACTAAAAGAGGAGAAGGATGTAGTTCATAAGATAGACTAAGAACAAGATAGAAACATAACATCAGAAAAAAGCTTCTACAACACGATGTGTCTATGGTCGAGGTAGCCATAAAAGCAAGAAGCAGAACATTATATCATCCTTTCACCATGTGGGTTCCAGGGCCCAATTATAAGGAAAACGAGAATAGACCCACTGCCTACACAAAAGCATGTCATAAGAGTCGACTAATTGGGAGCTTCCTTTGAAGTCGGAGTACATCTGCCTGAGAGGCAAGGAGCCAACAGTCTGCATACAAATTAGATCTGTCAAACGGATGGATGCACACACAACACTCAGGTTTTTAAGCAGGACTGCAGTCCAGAAGTGGGCAAACAACCAGAACTTTCCGCCAGAGTTTACAGCCGGTGAACGAGAAGAAGAAGAAAAAGAATATCGTCCTTGACACTGAAGTGGTAAACGAGCAAGTGAAGAAGAAGAAGAGGGAAATACTCAAAGAACTGGTTACCCGTTAGGAATTTGAATAGTGTGGACATAATGCTTAATTATTAATGATTTTTTTTAAACAATTTATTGCCTGACATATTTTGTTCATCTCCTAACTTGTGTTCTGACAGTTTTTTTTTTTTTTTTTTGAACATTTAATGAAGTACAAAACAAGAAATCTCTTAAATGAAACACACAAATGACATTGTCTCCTTGTCATACGCTAAAGTTCACTAAAGGAAGTCTAGGATTCACCATGTGATCACCACAGAAGCCTAACATCCCTTATTACAAAACATGGTGCAGTATATTGTTTGTATCTTCATTTTAAAAATAAAAGATGCGAAAAATATGGTCTGCAGTGTCTGGGGCTTTTGTGTTGCGAGTCCGACTCATAATTGCAACGTGCCGCAATCGAAACTGACTGCTGGCTGCATGCATTTTTATCATGGTATAGGGCATCGCTGGTCGACCCAGCCTAAAATAGGTACCAGAATGGCACTTCAGGGGAAGTAAAGACGACCGGCTGACCACATTACCCACCTAGTGCCGATGGTCTGTAAAAATGTGGGCGCTCTTCTCATAAACCCGATACGCCTAAAGACCTGATAAGGGATCTTTACTTTTCTTACTTTACTTAAGAAATATGGTCTAATATCTATTCTATCCTTGCAATCCTTTAGATATCATGGATGGAATTGAATCAAGTCGGGCACCTTGGGCATCTCTCAACAATATTGTTTAAGGGTGTCTCTTGCATGTCCTTGATTCTCCAACCCATCTGTTTTCTCATTTCAGTGCCTGTTTAGGGACTCTGTGTCTGCTTCTTCTCATAATGAGCCTCATAAAGTGCCACAATCTTATGTTGTTGCTTAGCATTGAAACAAAAATAACTGAACCCAGTGGACCAAGAGGTGAAGAAAAGATGCTGCTGTTGGATAGGACACACATTGAGAAAATCTGAGAACAATATAACTAGAATGTCTTTGCACTGGAACCCACAGGGGTATAGAAATAAAATAAGACACCCCCCCCCCACCCTCCCACAAAAGAAAATACACACACACACTCATACACACATAGAGAAGGGAGCTAGACAGTGAAGTCAAAAAGATGGGGAGGCCGTGGGGAGAGCTGCATGTGATAGCTGCCTAATGCTTTTAATGCATGTTTGCTGGTGGTCATGCAGAGATGGCAGTCTGTCAGTTTCTCCACAAATGACAGAGACTGACATTCTGTGTGTTATTCGTTGGCACAGGAGTTGAGCAACTAGGGGCTGACCCATGAACTAAGTCTACAAAATTACATAGGAAAAATACCATTGTTCTGAGGGGGCAGAATAAGCGCAGTCGATAGGAGACTTGCTTTCAAATCAAGAATGACTCGGCGTGAGTCGGTTGGGGGTCTATGCTCCATTGGTTTTTTTTTTTTCAAAAACAGAAAAATAACTGAATCTTAACTAACTATAATTTGTGAAAATATATTTACAATAGAACTTCCAGTCAATATGAAAGAAAAGTGTTTTTATTCATCATACATTCCAATGAATTTAAAGTACTATAAATTGAGGCTTATACGTCAAGATATCAAGAGGAAAAATATTTCCAAAACTAAGGGTCATCTTATGTGGTGGGTAAAAAATACGAACTTTTACCAGCTAGTGTAAAACAGGTGGGACATCACTCCAAACAATTGCTCTACGCCATTTACCTCACCTCCAGTAGACAGGCACAAATATACTGTTGAAAAAAAAAAAATAGCTATCTGATGGCGTGTTTCTTTTAGTTGTTAGAAAAGCCTGTTTGCCTAAAGATTATTAATGACCCAGATGCAAAAAAAAAATTGTCACTTGATTTGTTGAATCTTAAGGTATTGTTTTGCACAGTTTGAACAAATTCACTCTTGAAATTACAGAGATTTGAATGTCAAAATTATTAACACATTAGTCCTTTCAATGTCCTTCATTTGGGTTCTGGGGCCCTATTATAGGGAAAACAAGAATAGACCCACTGCCTACCCAAAAGCATGTCATAAGAGTTGACTAATTGGGAGCTTCCTTTGAAGTCAGAGTGCATCTGCCTGAGAGGCAAGGAACTAACAGTCTGCACACAAATGTGTCAGACCTGTCAAACGGATGCACACGCAGCCCTCAGGTTCTGGAATATGACTGCAGTCCAGAAGTGGACGAATAACCAAAACTTTCCACCAGAGTTTACAGCTGGTGAACGCAAAGAAGAAGAAGAATAGCTATGTATGTCTTTTTGTGTTTGTGTAGTGTATATATATATATATATATTTCCCATTAAAACTTGTGTGTGATGAACAAATTAGGCATATTTACCAGCATATCTTCATTTGTGACAACTGATAACCAATTATATCTTTGGGGTGGGGGGGGGGGGGGATTTTGGGTTGCAAATTGTGAAAATGTTGTGTACATCAGAACTTGAACTGAATTGTTAATAAAAGACAGGTGTTTTGGTTCATCCTAGATTTCACTGGGACGACCAAGAGATCTGCTTAGCCGCGAATACCTGCGCTCCACTCTGCAACTATGGGTGCTTTGGTTTGGTATTGCCTTTACCTATTATGGGATGGTTTTAGCCAGCTCTGAGGTTCTGAGGGTGAGAAATGAAGAAAGTATGTTGTATTTTAACTCACTGATACTGCCACTATCAACTGTAGACTTATTGTACTAACCTATTTACAGGGTGTTCCATAAGTGACCATACATAAGAAAAGTCTTCCGGTCAAGATGGACGCTAGGCACAGTCACTGTATTTAGTCATGGCAAATTTTTAGCTGCTGACAGATGGTGGCTGTTGCATTTTCCTCCATTTGTAGACTGAAAGTATATAGTTCTGTTGCCCAGCTGCTGAGTTAAGTGCATGGTTAGACACTATGAGCTGCAAATTTTATTTGGAATGTTTTTCTACTGTGACCAACTTGGTGTTGTGAACTGTAGATTCAAATAACACGTAGCTTGTTGCCAGAGAATTGGTGATGCCTTATGTGATTAAACTTGATTGCGTCTGCAGCTGCTGATCTGTTTATAACTGCTGTTTACATCATTGATGAGTTGCACTTCTAATGTTAGACTGTTTGTGTCAGCACTGCTAATGGCTGCTTAATGCTTTGAATGCATATGCATGCTGGTGGTCATGCAGAGATGGCTGTCAGTTTTTCAACAAAGGACAGAGATTGACATTCTGTTTGTTTTTCGTTGGCACAGGAGCGGAGAAACTAGGGGTTGACCTGTAAACTAAGTTTACAAAATTACATAGGAAAAATACCATTGTTCTGAGGGGGCCACGCAGTGCAGTCGATAGGAGACTCGCTTTCAAATCAAATTGTGACTTGCTGCAGCCCACGGCCGGTGTTTGAAACTGAGTTCCCCCAGCCTCTTGGTAATGTGTACCAGAATTTACACTGGGATAAATGGAGAAACGTTGCTGTAGCTACAGAGTTTGGCAGCGACACAGGCGGACAGTTTCTTATCAGCTGTCCGTACTGGTGGCAGAGCACTTATGGTTTATAACCGTGTGCAGTGGCGCTGATTCACATCTCCCTACTTGATTTTTTTTACCTTTACCATATTTCAGTGAATGCCCTCTACAGCTGAAGAACATGTATAACCACAGCTGGTGTTAATGCTGGTAATGGCGTTCTTGATATGTTTGTTTTCCGATGTATGGACATGTATGGGACAGCCTGTATAATCAAACTGCTACCATCAGCACTGGAACGCTTCACTGGCTGCTTAAGATGAGGGAGAAACGCTTATGGGAAAGTGCTGTAGTAAAGACTGATATTGTTTGAGAAATTCTTGGCATGATTTCTGGTCTGGACCCTATGTCGCTTAGAATAGATTCTAGATATTTGAACTGGTAACTTGTTCTGGTTCCTTATGGAAGAAAAAGTTTTGTGTGTGTGTGACTGAAATTCTTCTTCTTCTTCAGCATTTGAGCCCTTGAGGTTCATTGCTGCAGACATCACCCGCCTTTTTTCATCTCTCTGGTTGGCCTTCTCTTTTCAGTTGGTAACACCAAGTGTTTGCAGGTCTGTCTGGATGTTATCTCTCCATCTTCTTGGTCTGCCTCGTGGTCCACGACCATTCATCTCACTTGTTTTCACTTCTATGTCATCTGACATTCTTTCAATATGCCCCAACCATTTCAGTCTATTCGGTGTGACTGAAATGGTTTGAAAAAATTCTTAAAAAGATGTGGAATGATTTTCAGAAAACCATGGACTAAGAGGAAAAGAAATACTGACATTCTAAAAGATCTGAACATCAAGAAAGATTTGCCAGTAAACTGCATCTTGTCTCAGAAACATTTTGGCCATATCAAGAACCACGAGAGATTGAAAAAAAATAAAAGCAGAAGGTGTGGTACCAGGAAAGAGAGGCAGGGGCTGACCAGCATGAAGATGGGCACAGGATATAAGTGAAACCTCAGTTAGGAAAGTGCACGAGGCGGGAGAGCTGGGGAGAGATCAAGTTTCTTTCAGGCAGACTGTGATGAGAGCGACGTTCTGCAAAGGACCTGCTACATGATGATAATGAACTTGTTCTGGCTTGTGATTTTTAATTTTTATTGATACATTTTTAACAGTGGGTTATTTGTCATCACTTTAGTGTGGTCAGTATTTATTTCCATGCTGTGCTTGGCAAATGTTTCACCTGTCTTTTTTTTTATCTTCTTCTTCTTAACATTCACTGGCTGTAAACTAGTGTGAAAAGTTTTTATTATTTATTACCTTCTGGACTTTGGTCTTCTTCCAGAAGTTGAGTTTTGTGTACACATCTGTTTGACAGATTTGACTTATTTGTATGCAGACTGTTGGTTCCTCCATTCTCAGGCAGAGGCTCTCCAGCTTAAAGGAAACACCACTGAATTAGTCAACTTTCAAAACATTACTTTCATGACACAACTTTCATGACACAACTTTCATGACACTACTTTCATGACACTACTTTCATGACACTACTACATTTATGGCACTACTTTCATGACACTACTTTCATGACACAACTTTCATAATCACTACTTTCATGACACAACTTTCATGACACAGCTTTCATGACACTACTTTCATGACACTACTTTCATAACACAACTTTCATGACACAACTTTCATGACACAACTTTCATGACACAACTTTCATGACACTACTTTCATGACACTACTTTCATGACATGCTTTTTTTTGAAGGATAGTTGGTCAGTTCTCCCCCCCCCCCCTTTCCAAACTGGGTCCTTGGAACCCTTATGGAGATGATGTTTCGTCAGATACATCTATGAATTTAGCTAGCTCTTGTTCTTTCCTGGCCAGCCTGTTGATATCTGCAAACCTTAGATTTGCTATGATTCGTTCTCAAATGCTTAATGTTCCTTGATGTTTTTCTAGAGCATCAGTCATCATTCTTTTTATGAAGATATTAAAAATTGTTGTCTGTGGAAAGGCGGGGGGGGGGGGGGGGGGGGGGGGGGGGTGAAGCAGCCCTGTCTCACTCCTCTTGTTGCTTGAAACCATCTCTCTGTCTGTCTGGTATGACTGCACTGATAGCTTCAAATTAGAGGTTTGAGGTTTGAACAACTGATCAACTTCATGGCACATGGGTAGTAACCCATAACTGCTCCATTCTTCTTCTAACTCAAGTCTGAGTCCAAAGAAGCTCAGCACAGTGCACAGGCTGTGTAGCACCAGTGAGGATCCTGAAATACGTTGGGTAGATTTTTAACTCCAAATTTTTGCCCAGGCAGAGCTGTTAGGCTACTTTTCTTGAATTCCAACTGCCAAGGGATTTTTAAAAAATGCAACAAAGCACACGATCTCACTACCCAGAGACAAGGGGGAATTATTAAAAGTCCAAGTCTACATGAAAAATTCTAGCCCTTACCTGGGATTGAACCCAGAACCTCTAGCACCATAGGCAGAGACCATGCCCCAAGACTACGTAGCTCCCTAGCTTTAACATAGAGTTGTTCTATACTATGTTTGCACCATATTATAAGAACATCAAATGATTTGGTCATCTCCCTAGAATGCAGCTGGAACAACTACCAACACATGCTCTACACTTATTTGAAAGCAAGAGGTCACCCTAGGAGAATATGGATTGATGACATTAAAGTTCTTCTACATCAAAATACAACGACAGCCATTGCTACCCATCTCAAACTGTGTTTTTAAAAAGTTAAACAATGCAATATTTGACAAACATTCTGCGTTTCGCATTTGTTTCTTTTTTCTTCTTTTTATCTGAAAGAGCAGTAGGCATATGGTGTTGTGGTTTACAATTAGGTTGCGATTGCTGTGCTTTTTGATTTAGCACATCCACTTTCAACAAATTTATAATTAGTCCATTTTTATGAAATGTTGGTGGAGGAGGGGCTAGGTGAGTCTTGTCTCCACCCCCCCCCCCCCCCCCCCCCCCCCCCCCCCCCCCCAAATGGGGCCCTGAAACCCACAGAGGGCAGCATCTTGTTACCAAAGTTGCATTTAAAATACCTAGATTATTCTGTTTTATATTTGGGAAATCTGATGTTGTCTGTACAGTTGTAAAGAAGTTACACAGTATACAATATCTGCCGTATATGGTCTCTGTGTCTTATGTGTTGTTAATGCTGTTTCATAATTCTGAATACCGGGTTGAAGTAATCTGTGAGCTATCTAGCAGCAGACCACTTTGCAATGATACAAGTGTTCAGAAAGCAATGACACAATTTTGAATGTAAAATTGCCTAATAAATTCACAGAAAGCTGGTTTAGGAGGTTTTGTGAAGGAAATAGAATCTACTTTAACTCTTTGTGGTTGAGGGGTCAAGCCATTTGCCTCGTACTCTGAAGGTTGCGGGTTCGTCTCATAGTGACGCCATTCAGTTCACGAGTGTAATTTTTATGGAGATCACGTAGTTCATCCTCTAGCTTTTCTGCGGAGACAGAGTGAGCCATGTGGGATAAAACCTGGTGCAATGAAGTCGATCTTCTCACCTTTACTTTGACTTTAGTATACCTGTAAGTTTACTATAGGAGCTGTACAGATTTTGCTTATGCATTTACAGAAACTTCCCACTGTAAGTGTGCCTATCTGACCACTGAAGACTACACCACCATGCTGCTGTCATCTCTTGGGGAATTGCTGAGTAAGTCACAAGTAGAAGAGTAGTAAGGGGCAGAATCACACACCTATAGTGTCCAAACTAAAGTCACAAGTAGAAGTGTAGTGAGGGGTGGAATCACATACCTACAGTGTCCAAACCAAAGTCATTAGAAGAAGTGTAGTGAGGGGCGGAATCACATACCTACAGTGTCCAAACCAAAGTCATTAGAATAGGTGTAGTGAGGGGTGGAATCACATACCTACAGTGTCCAGACCAAAGTCACTATAAAAAGTGTAGTGAGGGGTGGAATCACATACCTACAGTGTCCAGACCAAAGTCACTATAAAAAGTGTAGTGAGGGGCGGAATCACACACCTACAGTGTCCAAACCAAAGTCACTAGAAGAAGTGTAATCAGGGGCGGAATCACACACCTACAGTATCCAGACCAAAATTACAAGTAGAAGTGTAGTGAGGGGCGGAATCACACACCTACAGTATCCAGACCAAAATTACAAGTAGAAGTGTTGTGAGGGGTGGAATCACATACCTACAGTATCCAGACCAAAATTACAAGTAGAAGTGTAGTGAGAGGTAGAATCACACACGTACAGTGTCCAAACCAAAGTCACAAGTAAAGTCACAAGTAGAAGTATAGTGAGAGGTGGAATCACACACGTACAGTGTCCAAACTAAAGTCACAAGTAAAGTCACAAGTAGAAGTATAGTGAGAGGCGGAATCACACACCTACAGTGTCCAAACTAAAGTCACAAGTAAAGTCACAAGTATAAGTATAGTGAGAGGTGGAATCACACACGTACAGTGTCCAAACTAAAGTCACAAGTAAAGTCACAAGTAGAAGTATAGTGAGAGGCGGAATCACACACCTACAGTGTCCAAACGAAAGTCACAAGTAGCAGTGTAGTGCGAGGCGGAATGATACACCTACGGTGTCCAACAATTAAATAATTATACAGATTTATTATGGCCAAGACAAAATCATCATTCATGCAGCAAAACATATCAATCATATAAGCAAAATTAATTTAAGATCTGACTAAATTACAGTCACCCAATCATCATATGACAAGTAACCCACCATTTTGTTTAGCTAGTCAAGAGGTACATAGTTATGCATGCATCATAAAGAGCAAAGAGCAAACACTGAATGCTGTTTGAAACCTGGAACAAGTATCACTGAATCAGTTTAATTGATGAGACAAATTTATAGGATTACTGTTTATCTTGTGCACATATATTCTGGTGGTATTCACGTTTCAAAGCTGGTATGGAAATGATTTCATTGTTCTGTTGCACCATTAGATGTCACATAAGGCTCACAGTCTATTCCTCCATTCCATTCCTCTTCTCGCTTAATAACCGTGTCATAAATGCTGACTGACTAGGAGTTTGATGGCAATAGATAGCTGTAAAACTCAGCACATTGTTCCAACCACCCTTTTCAAAATCAACACAGAAGAAGAAGAAGAAGAAGAAGAAGAAGAAGAAGAAGAAGAAGAAGAAGAAGAAAATTAAGAAGAAGAAGAAGACAAAGAAGAAAGAAAGAAAGAAAGAAAGAAAGAAAGAAAGAAAGAAAGAAAGAAAGAAAGAAAGAAAGAAAGAAAGAAAGAAAGAAAGAAAGAAAGAAAGAAAGAAAGAAAGAAAGAAAGAAAGAAGAAGAAAAAAAGAAAGAAAGAAAGAAAGAAAAAGAAAGAAAGAAAGAAAGAAAGAAAGAAAGAAAGAAAGAAAGAAAGAAAGAAAGAAAGAAAGAAAGAAAAAAAGAAAAAAGAAAGAAAGAAGAAAAAGCATAAGAAAGAGAGAGGTGTGTGTGTGTGGGGGGGGGGGGGGGGGGGGAGAGAATGTGTGTATTTGTCTTAAAGAAACAAATTAAAAATGTACAACACATTCTTCCATATTTCCCCACAGGTATACCAATCAACTTTTTCCTCATAGACAGAATTGGACGTTTGAAGTCTGGGGCACTCTGCTACTTTGGAACTGGAATCTTCTTCATCCTCATACAGCTCAAAGTTAATCTCAGTGTTCTGACAGTGTTCATGTTTTTTGTCAGAGCATTCTCATCTGCATCGTTCAGTTTTGTGTACATTTATTCCTCTGAGGTAAGTCAGAGAGCTCAGTAAATGTCATTTTGTATTTATAAGTAAAATTTCAATAATATTAATACAGAGAAGAAAAAATACAAAGGAGAAGGAAGAGGAGGATAAATAGGAGGAGTAGAAGAAGAAGGAGAAGCATTTCTCAAATTTGACTGTTTTTAATTGTTTACTCCCAGTGTGGGTTCCTATTGTAGGGAAAACGAGAACAGACCCACGGCCTCCCCACAAGCATGTTGTAAGAGTCGACTCATTGGGAGCTTCCTTCAAAGTCAGAGTGCATCTGCCTGAGAAGCAAGGAACCACCAGTGTGCACACAAATGAGTTTAGATCCGTCAAACGGTTCAGGTTCTGAAACAGGACTGCAGTCCAGAACTGGACGAACAACCAGAACTGTCCGCCGGAGTTTACAGCTGTTGAATGCAAAGAAAAGGAAGAAGAAGATTGTTTACAGCTATATGACTGTTTGTTATACTTGTACAGAAACAAATATTTGAATATCCTTATCATCTCTCCCATTTTATGTACATCACTAACTAAATAAATGTATGATTCCTACACTTAAGCTTCAAGTAAAGTTAAAATTGAGAGGATTGACTTCTTTGAACTGGGGATTTTCCATTTGGCTTGGTCTCTCTAAACCAAAAAAAACTAGCCGCTTGTAGAGAGCAACACATAAAGCACGCACTCTGCAGCTTCGGCAAAGATCCCCCAAGGATATCCAATAAAAAATGCACCCTTGAACTAAACGGCACTGCCATGAAATGAACCCATGACCTTCAGAGAATCAGGTAAAGGCTTCACCACTTCACCCTGGAGACTCCCTACAATTTAGGTGGTGTGCTAAATGTATCATTTTACAAGTATAGATTATCCTTGTTGTCTTTTTTCTTAGCTCTATCCCACATCTGTCCGCACCCTGGGAATGGGGACAGCCTCAGCCATGGCTAGAGTTGGTGCCATGATAACACCCTTTGTTGCACAGGTAACTCTCATACTGTGTTTTCATCATATCTGATAATTAACAAGACCACGGGATAACACTAGTGATTTTAGCCCTGCTGTCTTAAGAAACCTCACAACAGACAATTCCAGCTGGATCCAGTTCCCCATTGATGTCACTTTTCTGACTTATGCCTATGAGGTCAGAATAAAGAAAATAAAAATTGCATTTTAAGGGGTTCTTCTGTGGACCAAGAAGATTTTATAAAGGCAAGTTAACATAACATGTTCCTCTAAGTCTCATTGATAAAGGTCACAGATTCATGACATCAGTCACCCAATATATACATTTCTTTAGGCCCTGGAGAATATATTCCATTTAATGCTTAATTCTGTTTATATTGATTGATTACTCCCTTTAAATATCATTCAAAACATCTGGGTTGCTCTTTCTAGTTGTCCAAGTAAGTCTAAGGATTCTTCTATAAAACCACATTTCTGAGGCCTCAAGAAACTGTTTGGCCTGTTTATTAATCGTCCAGGACTCACGTCCATACTTTAAAGCTGGCTCTATAACTTGCGAGAGGTCTTTTCCTAACCTCCAATGACATGGTTTTATTGCATAAAAGAAGCAGAAGCAGAAGCCTGAGAAGCAGAAAGATTTTTTAAGCCATGAGAGAATGAGAAAGCTGTCTTTTTTCCCGATCCTGTGAGAGTCCAGTCTTTTGGCACTGGGAGAATGAAGACTGAGTAAATCTATGGGCAAGTAAATGTGTGCTCAAGCGCCGACCTTTGCCATCTTGTTTAGTCTGACATCTTGAAATGGCTGAACTTTGCTGCGATGTGGAGTTTGTGAAGGCCATTTTCACCAGTTTTGAAATGCAAGCTTAAAGATGTGCTGAACATGAGAGATACTCATATTTAACTCTTTGAGTCCTAGGGGGTTTAGCATCACAGGCCCAGGGGGTAGTAAACAGAGTCATAAAATCGGCGCATCATGTGTTCATTGGGCTTCTAGGTGGCATACTGTTTTCAACACGTGTTCACGAGCAAGCTTGCTGTGTTCATATCTGTGTCAAAGCAACTGAGAAGGCTGCATAAAGCCAAGGAGAATCATTGCAGTGCCAGACTTATATTTCATAACCATCCAGCAGTGGGTTGTTATGTTTGTTCTTCTTCTTCTTCATGTTCACCAGCTGTAAACTCTGGCAGAAAGTTCTGGTTGTTCATCCACTTCTGGACTGCAGTCCTGTTCCAGAACCGGAGTGTTGTGTGTGCATCCGTTTTACAGATCTGACTCATTTGTATGCAGGCTGCTGGTTGCTTGCCTCTCAGACAGATGCACTCCGACTTTGAAGAAAGCTCCCAATTAGTCGACTCTTACGACATGCTTTTGGGTAGGCAGTGGGTCTAATCAGGGCTGTAGGAGTGACCATAAGAGATAAGATCAGGAATGAGATCATAAGAGAAAAAGTCGGCACAGAACCAATTCTGGATTACATACGAAGACAGCAAGTGAAATGGTTTGCCCACTTAGAGAGAATGCCTTGTGACACCATACTATACAAAGCATACACGGAAATAGAAGAAGGATGTAGAGCTCGAGGTAGACCAAGAGCAAGATGGAAGGATAACTTCAGAGAAACTCTACAACAGGACGATGTACCTATGGTCAAGGCGGCCAGAAGAGCTAGAAACAGAACTTTATATCTCCCTCGACACCCACAGCGGTGAAAGAGGAAGTGAAGAAGAAGAAGAAGAAGAAGTGGGTCTAATCTTGTTTTCCCTATAACAGGGCCCAAAAATCCACACGGGATTGATGTGGTATGCATCATGCCAGCAATCTTTAGTTGCCAAGACTTTACCTGGTACCCACTAACATTTTATTCCTTTGACTCTATGGGTTTCAGTGCAAGGATGTTCTAATTATGATGTGATTAGGTTTTCTCAGTGTTTGTCTTATCCTACATCGCCATCTTTTCCTCACCTCTTGTTTCATTGGAATTCCATTATTTACAAATTGTCATATATTGTTACATTATAACCAACTATTTTTATGCACTTTTACTATATTTTTCCAGCTGTTTTTATATATTAAATAACATGTTATTTGAATTATTATATTATTTAACACCGTCCAATTATCTGTTTAGGTTTTATTGTCACATTCTGTTATAACGGCTACATGGGTATATGGAATTCTGTGCCTTATCTGCGGGATAAACTGTATTTTTCTACCTATAGAAACACATGGAAGAGCACTACCTGTGAGTCAACTTTTTATAACTATATATTCCATGAGTTTATTAATTTTGTACAACAAAGGGAATGGGATGCCATGCATCATTTTGATGGAGGGGAAAGTCAAGAAGAGGATATAGTATAGAACTCTTTTCCCAAAGTCATTAAAAAAATGTCTGGTACCTCAATATCCTGAACCCATGACCTTCCGATCCGTAGGTGAGCGTCTGAAGAAGGGAATGTGGATATAGTTAACAGCCTATCTTTTACAAGACACTGCAGAGCCAACCCAAGCATTGTTTGGCTGTTGTGATTTTTCTAGGCAAATTTACATTAGTTTTTCCAATACCCTCTGAACAGTCTGCTCTCAATATCACTGTCAAAACCAATGCAAGGTGGTCTGCTGCCAAATTGCCTGCAGCTGGGATTGAACCCGGCACTGCAGCATTATAAAGCTCATTTGCAACGCCTAAGCCACAGACGACAATGGATACAGACAACGGTTATTGCAGTTGTAGAACTTAGCAGATTCTTCCTCAAAGGGCAGAATGTTAGGCGGGCCTGCTTGTCCAATTCTTAACCCTTTAAAAATAAAGTTTATTCGTTCACCCCACCCCCTCCGGAAAAGAAGCATGTCAGATAAATGTGAAGGCGACAATGATCCTCAGATCAGTATCATATTATCGTTTGGAGCTGAAACACAGGTCCCTGCAGTAGGAAATGAGATGACAAACTTTTATTTTCATGCACATTCAGATACAGTAAATGATATTTACAGCCATTTTGTGAAACCAGATTAACTTCCAAACCATATATTTTTCTATCCCTCTGTAGGTTCTGGAACTTCATTTTGTGGAAAAGGAATAGAGCACTGCCTCCCTAACAAGCATGTCATAAAAGGCAACTAATTATGGATTTTTCCTCCAGAGTTGTAGCGAATCTGCCTGAAAGGCAAGAAACCAACATTTTGCATACAAGTGAGCCAGATCTGTAAAACAGATGTGCATGCAAAATTTCAAGTTCTGGAAGTAAACTGAGGTTTAGAAGGGGACAAGCAACCAGAACTGTACGTCAGAGCTTACAGCAGGTGAATGGGATGAAGAAGAAACATATCTTTTACTTGCACCTGGTCTGAAGCAGACGTCAGCACCCTTATTTGCTTTTTTGATGTGTTGATCATATAGACCAAGTCAGTACTAAGTGTGATATATAATATAATATGAGTAATGATAAGACAGAGGTAATGGTAATAGGTAGACAAGAAGAAAACTTATCAATTAGAGTAAATAACACAGAAATAAAACAAATGAGCGAATTTAAATATCTAGGGTCATTTTTCACCTCAGACAGAAGAATGGATAAAAAAAATAAACATACGATGTGTGAAAGCAAATCAGGTTATGAGACAATTATCACTGCTTCTGACGCATAGAAAGATACCTTTGTCAACCAAAGCAAATCTTATTAGAACGGTTTTTTGGCAGACATTGTGCTACCAGTGCCAAACATGGATCCTTACTTCAACTATTGAGTGGAAAATCATAACAACAGCGATTAGATGTCTTAAGAAAGCTGCCAGTGTGACAAGAAGAGATAAAATATCAGGAATGATGAAATTAGAAGAAGACTAGGACTGAAACAAGTCATACAGTTCATTAAAGAACAACAAATGAGATGGTTTGGCCACCTAACAAGAATACCCTGGTATCAACTGACAGAGAAAGCCATGCTGAAGAAATAAATTGAATACAGAGCAAGGGGAAGACCACGCAAGAAATGGAGTGACATCATCAGGAGCAACCTAATAGAAATGAAAACCAACTTGTGCAATGCATTGGAAAAAGCGCACAAATGATCCTTACTGAGGTAAATGGTGGAAGAGAAGAAGAACAAGAAAAAGAAGATGTGATGAAGTTTGTGTTTGAATACAGTCATCAGCAAATGCCTTATCAGCTGGTGTAGGCGATCATGCCTTTCCACAACTTGCTCCAACAGCACATATCAATTCTTGTGCTGACAAAATTCCATGCCTTCACCAGTCTTCTTGCATGGTCTTCCTCTGTCTCTTTTTCCACAAATCTTTCCAGATGATGAAGATGATGTTGAAGATCACAAGTTGTGGAGAGGCATGATCGTCCAATGCCAGCCTACATGTCTGGGATGGTAGATTGCTTGAGTGATTTTTAGTCTGGCCACGTGATACATTTCATATTATAGATGCAATTTTCTTATTAATGTAATTTCTGGAGTAAAACTAATGTTTTCTTAAATCATCTTCAGCAATCTGTGAGCTATGAATATAATCATCATACTATGGAGTTAAAGGAGAGTTCACCAACGGCTCTGGAATCTGACGTCAGTGACCAGGATGGCAGACCCTCTGTGGTTTCAGAAACAATTGGCAGAAAGTAACATTGAAAACATTAAGATGGTTGAGTGTGTTGGAAATCTAATGAAAATCTACATGACTCTTTTTTTCCACACCTCCAGGCTTATTGGGCATATAGGACTAGACCTATATCTTTCGACCAACTGGCACTTGTTGAGTGATGTAGTCAACATCATACCAGCCACCTTTATTTCCCAGGACTTTGTCTGCTGCCCATTTCAAGCTGGGTCGACCTGGGAGTCAAGGTCATGTTTTGACAAAAGTCTGACCCTGTCAGGACCTAAACTGATCAACTTTAGATCCGCAGGCGAGGGTCAAGCCTCTACACCATGGCGGCTGCCAAATCTGAAGTGTAGATTTAAGTATTTTTCAGTGTAGGTTCTGGAGCTCCTTTATGGGGGTGGGGAGGGGAAGGGGGTGTGTCATAAAAGGTGACTAATTGGGATTTATTGGGCCAACATGTGTAGATGTACAGCCTTGCTGTAAACCACAACACAATGTGCCAACCGCCACTTTAACTCTTTGAGTCCCAAGGAACGCATCATTCATTCATGTGTTCCTACCTAGAGATCCAGCGAACGCAAGATGCGCAGATTTACGTCTCTCTTGACTATCTCTTGGGCATCTGATGTTAAACCCCCTGGGACTCAAAAAAACTACAAAAAAGAATTAATTAACTTGTACCTATGCACATTAGAGGGATGGCATGGTATGATGGAATCACCAGTGATAGGTGAACACATTAGAGGGATGGCATGGTATGATAGAATCACCAGTGATAGGTGAACACATTAGAGGGATGGCATGGTATGATAGAATCACCAGTGATAGGTGAACACATTAGAGGGATGGCATGGTATGATAGAATCACCAGTGATAGGTGAACACATTAGAGGGATGGCATGGTATGATAGAATCACCAGTGATAGGTGAACACATTAGAGGGGTGGCATGGTATGATAGAATCACCAGTGATAGGTGAACACATTAGAGGGATGGCATGGTATGATAGAATCACCAGTGATAGGTGAACACATTAGAGGGGTGGCATGGTATGATAGAATCACCAGTGATAGGTGAACACATTAGAGGGGTGGCATGGGTATGATAGAATCACCAGTGATAGGTGAACACATTAGAGGGGTGGCATGGTATGATAGAATCACCAGTGATAGGTGAACACATTAGAGGGGTGGCATGGTATGATAGAATCACCAGTGATAGGTGAACACATTAGAGGGGTGGCATGGTATGATAGAATCACCAGTGATAGGTGAACACATTAGAGGGGTGGCATGGTATGATAGAATCACCAGTGATAGGTGAACACATTAGAGGGGTGGCATGGTATGATAGAATCACCAGTGATAGGTGAACACATTAGAGGGGTGGCATGGTATGATAGAATCACCAGTGATAGGTGAACACATTAGAGGGGTGGCATGGTATGATAGAATCACCAGTGATAGGCTCTAGGAGCACAAGAAGAAGAAAAAGAAGAAGAGGAGGAGGAGGGAGAATAATAATCATAATAATTTATTCAGTAAGAGACAGGCAGTAAGGTCTACCTGTGGGCATTTTGATGAAAAGGTAGTAGATGAATGCAAGGTGACCGACTCACAGAGGGATTATGAGACAAACATTGAGACATAAGAAACTAAGTCACTTTCCAAGCTGGTCAGTCACCTGACTGAATGAGTGAATGAATCGATAATTGACTTGACTACACTTGGAACATTCCCAAAAGATCTCTGACCAATTCCTTAGAAGAGTTCTCATACTTGTGGTGAAAGTTGCAGCCTGATAAAAAGTTCACCCCCACCCCCCACACTCCCACTGGTAGAAAATTGACCCCTCAATTGACCCCACGTCTGCTGTATCATAAAGTCGATTCTGGGCCCCCATTTGGCAGGGCTGGGGTAGAGAGTGGGGGGGGGGGGGGGAGTGGAATGGAAGTCCCACTGTTCTGTAACAAGCATTTTGTGTCATAAAAGGCAGCTAAATGAGAATTTGCAGAAATCAGATGTGTTAGGCAGAAAGGTGAAAATATCACAGCCAAGTTTTAAAAAGCGCACAAAATGGCAAATACCCCTTTGTTGCAGAAGATAAAGAATTATTTAGTTGGAAATAAAACTAAAAATTGCATTGTTTATCTGTGCAACATTAACATGAAAGAACGGGTCATTGAGACTACTGTTATTTCTTCCTTTTTTCTTTTCTTTATTGTGACTGCATTAATGACTTACAAAACTGTATTATGATTTTTATATGGAATATATTTGTCATGGAAGACAATAATTAGATAAGTATTTAGAAAGAATGTGGGTGTTGTGGTTTGTTTCTTGGCACCTTTCTGTAATTCCAGGCTATAATGTTCCCTTGTGCTACTGGGTGGCATGGGAATCCCAGACCATGGGGATATCCAGTACCCAGGGATAAAGTTTCTCCTCTATAGCAGAAAGCTTGGCCAGTATTGTAGAGACCATGTGTTGTCCATGCAGCTTGATCTCTCTCTCAGCCTGCCTTAACTCTTGAGCAGAGCAGGTCAAACCTGGCAGCTCACAGGTCAGACCTGGCAGCTCACAGGTCAAACCTGGCAGCTCACAGGTCAAACCTGGCAGCCCACAGGTCAAACCTGGCAGCTCACAGTTCCAACCTGGCAGCTCACAGTTCCAACCTGGCAGCTCACAGGTCTAACCTGGCAGCTCACAGGTCCAACCTGGCAGCTCACAGGTCCAACCTGGCAGCTTACAGGTCCGACCTGGCAGCTCACAGGTCAGACCTGGAAGCTCACAGGTCAAACATGGCAGCTCACAGGTCCAACCTGGCAGCTCACAGGCTAAACCTGGCAGCTCACAGATCAAACCTGGCAGCTCACAGGTCAAACTTGGCAGCTCACAGGTCAAACCTGGCAGCTCACAGGTCAAACCTGGCAGCTCACAGTCAAACCTGGCCCATGGAGGCCTTGTAGTTGGCCCGTGGATCATTGTCAGTGATCGTCATCAGGATCGATCTCTACTTCTGATGTTCAGCGTTGAGGGAAGGAACAGTGTGCAATCCATTGCTAGATGGGCAGCATTGGCTATTGTCATCCCATGTCCATAAAAAAGCTCTTTAATATCAGCAATCCATGTTCTCCTAGGGCAACCTCTTGCTTTATTATCATTTGTATGTGTAGCACCTGCATTGGTAGTTGTTCTGCTGCATTCTTACTTGATGATCAATCAAACCATCTGATCTTCTCTTTCTCATTGAATTTGCTGCATAGTGCTGTTCCCCTATTTCTGATACTATCATTATCATAGTCAATTATATTGTATTAATGATCTTTCTATTTGGGGACGTTGGCCCGAGACAATCCCCATTTAGAACATTCTGGACCTTGAGTAAACTAAATTGAAAAGAGCTGCACTAGAGGAAAAGAAATACCATTGTATTTGTAATATAGCATGCTGCAGAAGCTGTCAGATCAGAAGAGCTGTTCATTGTCTGTGTGCCTGTCAGAGCTATCCTCCTAGTCCAGGTGTTATCATTGATAGTGTTTTAAAAAGTGCACACAGAATTTTAAAATTAATGCTGGTTTTTTACAAGAATGCATATAGAATGAATTTGAAAGCCGTGGTTGTGTTTTAGATGAATGTGTAGACAGAATTTAAAAACAGTGGCAGTGTTGTAAAAGAATGTATATAGACAGAATTTGGCAGAGTCCAGTGTTGGTGTTTCAGAAGACTTATAAAGAAATAATTAGGGAGCATCCAGTGTTGGTGTTGTTGAAGAATGTATATACATGGTGTTTTTAAAGTCTCACTATACTTTTTATATAAAACAAATGTGAAACACAAAGTGTATGACCTCACAAAAATATGTACTCCATAGTCAATTGCAAAGCAGTCATTTGCGCTGGAGTAACTCTTTGCACTCAAAACAGAATGGTGTTATCAGAATTACCATTCAATAAATAAAAACGGGCACATTGCAGAAGGTATTTGATAAAAATAAGAGACGTGTACAGTAATGTCTTTAAGCCTGTGGTGAACATTTCCGAGAACTGTTATAATGACAATTTCATTAGTACTTTCCAGCTTCCCAGAAAACAGTGTTAGACCATAGAATTGACTATTGTAACTAAATGAATTACTCATTTCAGCACAATTTTTTTTAAATGACTTGAGGTTTTTCAAATTTATTCTGCATACAGCGCGTAGTGAGACTTTACAAACACCTTATAGAAGGAATTTAGGAGAGTCCGGTGTCCATGATGTAGAGAAGTGTTTATAGATAGAATTTAGGAGCCATGGTGCTATTTTAGGAGAATGTGTATAGAAAGATTTTAGAAACTGTGATAATGTTTTAAATGTATATAGAATAAATTTAAGAGCTGTGGTAGTATTTTAGAAGAATCTATTTAGAATGAATTAGGCAGCTATGGTATTTTTTTTTAGAAATATGTAGATAATCTGAAAACTGGTAGTATCTTAGAAGAATGTTTATAGAAAGAATTTAGGAGCTGTGCTAGTATTTTAGAAGAATGTATATTCTGGTGTTATACAACATTGTATACAGAAACAGTTTTGGAGTTGTAATGGAATTTTAGAAGAATTTATATAAAAAAAATTGGTGTCTGTGGCTTAGGCGTTGCCATCATGCTTCATAATGCCGGGGTGCCGGGCTTGATCCCAGCTGCGGGCCTTGTACCTTGCGTTAGTTTTGACAGTGGTATTGAGATGTCGACCGTCCAGAAATCAATGGCAAACTGCTAGAAGTGTGCTTGACTGGAAAAACCACAGTAGCCAAAAAATACTTGGGTTGGTTATGCGACGTCCTGTAAAGGATATGCAACTAACATATATTTTTTAAAAATGGAGAGGCATGATTGTTTAATACCAGCTTACAAGTCTGAAATGGTTGATTCATTGATTGATTTTTAGTCAGGCCGCATGATAAATTTCATGATATAGATGCAATTTACGTTATGTTATTTCTGGAGTAAAACTAATGTTTTCTTTAATTATCATCAGCAGCC